TGTAAAAGTTCAGGTTGTAATTATAAGTAAGAAGAGGAGAGGGTTGCATTCTGCGACTCAAGATTTCCTGTCGATACCATATTTTTGTTGTAGTCCAGTTGACACTGAGCAGAGTGTGTGGAATACCGTATTTATAGTTGTAATAATAAGAACCGTAAACTCAGACGATAAGAAACGTAAAGACACGGCTCGCTGACGTACAGAGAAATTAACGCAACTATAGCTGTATTTTTCAGCTGCGTAGCTGAACTCCTCGTACTGCGTCTCCCTCTTTTTTTTTTTTTTTAAGAGCAGCCCAGCAGAAAGGCAGGGACACTGCTACAGTAATTATTCCTGGAGCGGAACAGGTTTGGTCCTACCATTTCGACGCTGAACCGCCACCGGCTGGGAGTTAAAGCTGGTCTCTCTGCCTGTCCATCCCGCTCTAAACGGCCCTTATCGTCCCGTGCTCCCTCCTATCATTGTGTCGGCCGGACTCGGTTCGCGCTGTGCTCCGGACCAGAAACGTCCCGCGTCAGGCTTCGCCCTCCTCCCGCTCCTCCTCCTCCTCCTCCGGGCTGCGGCAGAACCAAATAATGCAACGTTAACCTTCTACCTCTCATCCTTTTTACGGTTCCTGTCCGCCACATTGGGTCCGCTCAGAGGCGTTCGGAGGATGTGGACGGGTTGGGGGGCTCGGCCCGGTCCAGATGAATCTTGATCTTATGGCTGCATTTATTTCAGGACATGATGTCCCAGTGATTTGACCACAGGCTGACTTTTTTTCCTCTTCCCCACAGAGAAATAAAAAACCAGTTTGATCAGTTTTCCTGGTTTATTGTTGTGATGATGATGATAAACATAATCATTTCAGTTTGTAAATCAGTGTTGTATAAAGTACCACAAAGTGATATTTGAGTACAAGTACAAGTACTTTGGTAAAAGAAAGTCTCCTTTAGTAATATTACTTGAATAAAAGCCTGATATTTTTTGTAGTTAAGCATTAAAAGTAATAATATTGATTTAAAATGAGCAGTTAGATTTTCTGTAAGGACATTTATTAGGAGGTGACCTCCCCAACAAATGCAGAAATGACTATATTGTATTAAAATAATTAACTGATGTCAAATAGCTGTTTCAGTTTGTTTACATATAGCAGGTAAAATAAGTATTGAACACGTCACCATTTTTCTCAGTAAATATGTTACTAGAGGTGCTAATGACATGAAATTTTCTCCAGATGTTGGTAACAACCCAAGTGATCCATACATACAAAGAAATCAAACCATAAATGTCCAGAAATGAAGTTATTTGTAATAATGTGGAATGGCAC